AGGTATGATACTTAAGAAGCTTGATTTTGGAGGGATCCATTACATTCCTATCCTGTTTCAACAGGCAGGAAGATGGATGCTGGCTTTGTGTTTTATGTTACCCCCAAGACCAATATTACAATATTTGTAAATCAAAAGGAATAGTGGATTCCTACACAGGTTTAATGGAAGTTGCCACATTTAAGAAACAAAAGCACTGTTTATTTTACTACAAGCTTTTTTGAAAGTGAGATACATTTGGGGGTTGGGACGAGATGGCCTTTAAATTCCATTCCAGCCCCTTACCATCCTGTGATTCTATGATAAGGGCAGCAAGAGGAAGCTTTTCACATTGAGACATCACTTGTCATGAAAGGGCTTCCTCACAACTCAAAATCTGGAAGCATTTGCAGCAGTTCAGATTCCAATGATCTGATCTGGCAGACTGTTCCACAGCTGAATCCTTACAACCAAGGGCATTTTATCCCCAGTTCTTTGAGCATTAATCCTGGGCTTCGCTAACTGCATTGTGCCAGATCCACACACCCATGGGACAGTTCACAGTCCAACTCAATCTTTCCACTATAAAAGCCTATACAAAAAATTTTCCTGCGCAATCCGGGAGGAACAGGGCTATAAACACTTCTAGCTCTTTATTCCGTGGGACTTTTCCGTGTGCAAATAATGGATAAAAACTTCAATCAGTTGAGAATTTAAAATTCTGTTCCTGCTAAACATAAAATAGATTATATTCTATTAACCTCAGATTTCTAGCCGTGCTTCTTATTACAAACTATAGATAAGTGAAATACCACTTGCAGACAAAAATATGGCTAGAACACCTAAATACATCTTGGAACATTCATTCTCTAAGAGATCACACATAGACTGTTTTTAATTTCAGGTGAATAATGACAAGAACTGAACTTTTAAGTCAAGACCTACAAAAATATTATAACATCTATTTACATTTTAGTGAGATAAAATGTCCTCACTCAAATCTATCTAACATTTTACAAAGATTAGAGAGCACATGCAGTAACAGAGATACCCAGTGAGTAACTTAGAAAGTAGAATATTCATAGGAGAAAACCTTCTCCCCATATACAGGAAATGTGAATGTATCATGCAATACTTCTGCTGGTTTTCTGCAGCAAACTACATTTTTCTAACAAAATTTCTACCAAACTACCAAATTTTTCAACTAGCTGCTTAGTACATTACGCAGAATGAGGGAAAACTAATCAGATACATCAATCAAAGCAGATTACATCCTGTTAATCCACTTAACAATTTAAGCTGTACTTGGCCTCATCTAAGAAGTGTAAATCACAGTAGCCCAATTAAGCATTATACCCATCTAGATTAGTTGGAACCAGGCATACAAGCATCTCCTTTTTCAGTAAACCTCAGCAAGTCTGAAACAGTAAGTAAAACAACAACATTATTATACACAAGACCACTTTCCCTTATTCAAATCATTAAGCACAACACTCAGTTGAGAAGACTAATTTTTTATCCACAGGATGCAATCTTCCCTTAATTTCTCCTCACTGAAAAGACAACTTCTAGCCTTCAACAATGCACACCGGTTGTAGGTTGTCAATCCAAAAGTAAATTTTATTACTGGTTTCCCAAGAGGCAACAAATGAGATTTACATTCCAAAGGTATTTTGGATAGAGGAGGATCAAAAGGACAAGCCATCCTCAGCAGCAGGAAGACACACAAGCAGACTCTGCTGTGATACTCCCTGGATTCTAATTGTCCTGGCCCTGCTGCTATCCAGACTGCAGGGGCAGGGAGAGGCTTCACAACCTGCTCTGTCCCTACAAGCAGTGATTCCAACACTGATTTTTCATGGGGTTACTTACATGAGTAAACATTTATCAATTTATCTTAGGGTTGCAAATGAAGATCAAAATAATTATTTGACAAATAAAGTTTGCTTGCAGCTGACTTACAGCCACAAGCTGTGAAGCACATCCTGTAGAAAGCCAAATCCTTTGCTCATTCAGTTCTGCTTTTCCTTTCCCAAATGACACATAACCAGGTAAAACACTAAGTCAACACACAACGTTTTGCATGTGGTTAATCAATGCCTATTTCACATAACAAAGTCTTTGTTTAATATACAGATAGCCCAAACTGTCTTAGGCATTAATAAAGGGATATAATGAATTTTAAAATCACATTAATCTGTCAGAAAAATATCCATGTATTAGAGAAAAAAGTACCCTTTAATTAATGAGAAGTATTTATGTTTTTCCAAACTGAGTAACTGAGAGCTTGTCAATGCTTGTGCTTTGCTCCTCCACCACACTCTCCCATTTGTTTGGGTGAATTTTATCAAAGTACCAGAAAGAAAAGTACTTCTATGGTGACAATAACAACATAAACCTTGGAAAGGAGACACAGTGATGTGCACAAGACCTGAGACTTAAAATTTCTTCCATGAACAGTTTCAAAGTGCACTGTATAACTTTTAAAAAAACCCAAAACCCAGAAGTATAGGAATGACCAACAGAGTGTGAAAAGAAAAGTTTCTTTCAAGGCAATCCATGGCACTTCTCCCATTAAAAGAAAAATTTAATATATGCATTAGTCTTCCTCATATTGACTTCATACACCCTTTGTACAGCTGACAATTGATGAAGCTTATGCCAAGAGGTGTTGAACACACTTTTATTTGTACTACTTCAAACTCTTTAAAAACCAAGATAAGCTTGATCAAGGTTTAAAAACCTCCTGACTTCATGTTCTTAAAGCCTTGGCAGTTAATTGTTCCAGTCAGTGATTTACCCTATCAAGATGGGGCAAGCATATCTGAAGCTCAACATAAATCAAAACCAGACTTATTTGTAGTGTATCTAAGCCAAAGCCTTTTACCTATTGACTTACCTTAAGTAGAAACCCAGTACTTAAGTCTATGCCTTTGCACATAGTCAGTGTCACCATCAGTATTAAGAGGAAATGAAACAACACAAAAGCAAAGATTTCTTCCAAAGCAGTGAGTCAGTTTTTAAAAGACATAAAATCTCACTGGAAATGAGTATTCTTAAAACTACCAGGCAAAATTAAACCCAGTACCCAGTAAAGTAAATGAAAAACACCCAACCAAATTCAACTAAGGAAAATAAGGACAACATTTTAAACCAGTGATTAGTCCACATCTCAGAGCGTGAAGTCTGACAAGTTTACTTTATTTACCTATTTAATATAAAGGTATCCATAAATCAACTCCATAAAAAGCAGCCTTCCATAATTTGCAATATTTAGAGTACGTTTTATACAATGCTTAAAGAGACTTTAAAACCCCTAAAACCTTTCTCTCAAGCATGAAAAAGCCTATATCTTTGGTATCAGGAACAAAAAACACATCGACACTGTTCAGTGCACCTAAATATATGGCACAAAGGCAAGAAGTGGGAAATACCAAGAGCTCTGTGGAACATTAAGGAGAGTGACAATTTACACCTGCTGAGCAGCAGCACCACAGTCTTTGCAGTGGCTCCCTACACTAACCTATAGCTTCATAATGAAAAATTCAGCCTGTCAACTTAACAGCCCAACATAAAACATATCACCGAAGCTCAGAGTAAGTTCACAGCACTCACTCAAGTTAATAGGACTTGTTTAAAAAGTTGAGCTAGGTCAAAGTTGTATTTTGCTGAAAGTTATTTCACTCCAAGGAAGTCAAAACACATACTGGAAATGAAACAGAGAAGTGATGTCATATCTACACACACAGAGATTATTAGGAGAATATTTTTACACAAAAACACCATGTAAAGCAATCAAAAACTGTGACATTTACTCCAATTATGATACTTGGGTACACACAATTAACCCTAACAGAATTTTGGGAAGGTTTGGGCATTGCTCAACATGGCATTATTCAAAACATATGAAGATGGCTGTTATATGAAACAATATGTGCATATATGTATTTATTTTTAATACAGACACACAGGTATGAAAAAACAATATACATTAAACTTCCTTAAGTGTTGTTTTCTCCTTAGTGGCAGTGTCCTCTGGTTTTTCTCTAGATAAAGAGCATTCAGTGGGAGCTTTTTCTAATCCACACACATGCAGCAGCATCTCTATGGCCACACCTGCACCTGTATGAGAACAGGCCAGATGCTGAAGCAATGCAGGACACAGCACATGACAAATGCTCGTGACTCATGGAATAGGCCTGTCTTGTCCCTAATCCATTTTGGGACAGCCCCTAGCACATGGCTTTCCCTTAGCAGTCCTCTGTTAGGGCTGCTGACACCGGCCCAAGGCAGGCCAGGGAGCCTCTGACTCTGGACAGTGCCACAACCCTGAGACAGCACTCAGGTTCAGCAGGTACAGCCCCAGCCTTACCTTACCCTCCCCAGGGGAAGTTCTGCAAGATTCAGAGAGTATGACAGTTGTATTTTTCTTATTTTCCTCTACAACATAAATATTTAAGAGATTATTTCCACGACTCTAATGTTTATGTTGGTGAAGACAATGTAGACATTTTTATTAGAGCAATGAAGCAAGAAACATAAAATATGGGTTTATGTAGTTATGGCTACATTTTAGAGATGATATATTTACAATCTGTACTCCTTATTTTTACCAGGAGAAATCTCTTTTATCAAACTACCAGCTCAAAAGAGACTCAAATCCATGATCATACAGGATAATAATAAGATCAACCAAGCAGAGGGGGCTTTTAAAGAAGCCTCTTAAATAAAGAAAACACGCCATTGAACAAATACTTCTGAAGCTGAAATGCTGTAGCCTAGCACTATGAATCTCACATGCTCTTGTGAGACCAAGGTTAAGGAATCACTTAAAGATGGATTTTTGTGACAATCAGGATCCAAAGGGAGTTGTTGGTTTTGTAATTTTTTTAACACTATTTTTCTCAGTATGTAATATCTAAGTACCTAGTGAATTAACACTTTTGAACATTTTTTTTTCTACAGGATCCTTACAGACCACACTGCTTCCCACCAGGCTATGGCTGAGCCACTCCACTCACCATGAGCTGCTGCGGCTTCAGCTGTCACATTTTTTCCTGGAAAACTCTTCTTTCCTACTGTGGCTATTCTATCTGACAAGAATCAGTCAATGTTTCATTTTTTTAAAGATGCTGCTGGCCATTCCTGGAAGAAAATGAAATTTACTGCTGTATGCTTTGGGATCATCTAATTACAATACCAGCCTTCAGGGAATTTTTAAACTAATGACATTGGATTTGTCAAGCACAAAAACTTTTAATCTGATTTTTCAAGTGGATCCTAGCCAATGGATCCTGGCCACCACAGCACTTAAAACACATTTGACTGTCCTCCATGCAATATTTAGGTGGGCTTCTTATCAAAATGTTAATTTTTGTTACCTAATATTTTCACTGGTGGTCAATACAAGGCATGTAGGGGTATTGACAATGCTATTAAATTTTTTATGACTGGAAGTCCACAAATCAAATTATGTGTGTGTATATACAGCTTCACAAATGAAAGGAGGCACAGACTTTGAGAAATCGGAACCAAAATACGGTATGAACAACTCCCCACTTTATCTGCTGATCTCATGATGCAACATCAAGAAACACCAGCTCAACAGTAGTTATTTTTAATTTTATTTCAACATCCTAGTCTTTATTTTGAGCATTCTTTTCATTTCCAGTGCTAATAGCATGAACAAAGCCCCAAACAATTAATTATGTCACAATGACTCCTCCAAAAGCAAACAATTCATATGACCCATCAATCATCCACTTTTGGGTATTTCCTTAGTTCTAAAGTACAAATAATGCACCATTTGAGCTGATAGGTTTGGTTTGACTGCACTAGGTTGGGTCTTTTGGCCAAATGATGATGGACTCATGCTTCAATTTCAAATTAGTTTCCATTATTACTGCTTCGCACACATAAGCTACAACTGTGCCATGTAGAAACACGGATAACTACACTTCAAAGAAAAGATTCTCTTTCAAACCTCTCTTTCTTTCAAACATAATTATTGTCTATTTTTCAAAACTGCCTACTTTATGACAAATTTATGAAACAAATTATGAAATACAAGTATTATTGTTCATTAAGCAACTGCTATCAGCATTCCAGCCCTCCCCAGTCAGAAGAAAATACAGTTGTAACACAAAACTGTGCAAATGTAACAAAACTCAACATAGTGACACCATCCAATGGCTACATCAAACCAGACTCAGCCTGAGTCACTTGTCATTTTCTGCCCAATACTACCAGGTACCATGAGAAGAAGGAACAGCTCCCCAAGGGAACACAGAGTGAAATGAAGGCTGTGACTACCCATTTGCTTCAAAAGCTAAACATGTTCATCCTGTCAGCAGAACTTGGAAACCTAACATCAACTTTATTATCAAACCAAGTAACAGGATTCCTAGGTCCCTAGGAAGGGATAACTGACACACATGCACTTGTAATGTCAGTGACCATCTCCAACCAACAGTCAGGGCTTGCACTTCCAATGAGAATTCACAATCCAACTGCAGTCATTTAACACAACTACTCAGAAGACAGCATGCAACTGCTGCGCTGCTTTCTTCAAGTATGCAACCAATTTTAAGAAGAGACACATTTCAAGCACTGATGTCTACACTTCTGTAAAAATATGAAACCAAAAACTGCTACTTGAACTCTTCTATAAGTACTACAGTATTTTAGCATCATATCCTATTTCCCACAAAGATGTGTCCTTGGAACACGCAGCCATGCTACACAAAGCTGTATCACCATGTTCTATCCTACTGCCAGGGACATAGGTATTGTCAGCCTTTTCCTCACTGATATTCCAACTGATCACAAACAAGCTGTTGTGGAGGCACATCACAGATGCCCTGCATCATTGTCTTTATAAACCATGCAGTTTAGCTCAATTTCAATGGAAATTACAAGGAACTTTTCTCAGATACTAAACTCAAATATCAAAACAGTAGATAATGTCACTCTCAAATGGCAAAGGGCCCTAATATTATTAGAGAAACACCTCACATACCACTAGGTAGCTTCAAAGCGCCAAACACACGCTCCCAAGTTGCAAGAGTATGTCTCCTTTCCTATTAGGTTAGAGAAATTCTACATGAAACAGTCAATTCTGTTCCATCTGTTGGCAATGGAATTAATAGGCTTCCTTCTGGTGGTAGCTACACCGCAGCCTCTCCCCCTCTGATCAGCAAGGGACAACGTGAAGACAAAGGTTATGACCATGCCATGCACAATGACAGCAGGATCAAACAAAATCAGGCTCAGCCACTCAGAGCACTCCGTGCTATGAAAGGCAGTATTTTGGATACAGTCTCAAATAAAGGATTTTGAACATGCTACTAAGTCTTAAGCCCATTATTTACATCTCGTTTTCAATGATTCAGTAACGTTACCCGAACAGGTGCCTCATCAGCCAATGGAGTAAATGCAATATCCTAAGCATTCTTGCCACTGTCTGACTGAAGGAGTTTTTGAACAAACAAAATGCTGAGTTAGATTGAAAAGAAAAAAAAAAAAGAAATAAGAATTACACGTAATTATTCAAGAATTTAATCTGCAGATTGAGTCTCATACATAGAAATCCCCCTTATTTTGCAGCATATTGAAGCTTTAGCTGCAGTTTAAATCATGTTGGCACATAAAGGAAAAAGTTAATTTCTTTTCCATTACGCATTACTACTTAATCTTATAAAGGGGAAAACACAAAATTCATTCAATTTCTTCTCAGGAAACCTGACAAAACAGTATATTGTTTCTGGCTGGCAGCCACTGTACTGCCATAGAGTTTCTTAAAGGTGCAACACTCTGCATCCACGTTTGAAGAAACACTGGAAGCATGAAACAAGTAGAAATGATCATTAGCTAAATTCATTCCAAAAACAAACAGCAAGAAAGCAATAGGTCTTGAAGGAAGACAGAGGGTCCTTGCAGAGGCTGGCAAACGCTCCAAGCCAAACTAAATCCATAGTGCTAACAAACCACGGCTTTGCTCTGGCATCACCAGAAGGCTGTTTTTATAAAGACAGATGGACAGAAGGGAGGCTTTTCAGCTACGATTGTGTCAAGTTAAACTACTACCAAGCAGAAGTTTAAAAGTGGTTTCCAGTCAACCGTATGAGCTCCATGGAATCTCAGAGCCCATTTTAAGGTGATATAAGTAAGGACAGAAAGATAGATACACACATGTGGACTAACATCTAACATCCATGTGGTTGCTCCAGCTGACACAAAAGCAACCATCAGATTTTTGGAAATTTAGAGCCTGAACAGCAGTGTTGATTGAATGACACCATTAGGCTTATTCCTTTCATATGCTAATAATGACATCATGCCTTATGGCCTGATGCTGCAACCATATATTATCATCTCTTAAAGACTTCTTTTTTCCAAAGAAGTCTAATATGTGAGCAAACAGCTCACCTGCATATAGGAAGAAGATTTTTTAATTCGTCCATGACACAGATTTCCTTCTGTACCTTAGCGCTGTAAATAATTACTACTGAAATATTTATAGAGGTCTGACTTTTTTTTTTTTTTTAAAGTAAGAAAATAATAAAAGTGTTGGGGCAGAAAAAAAAAGTCTACAAAAGAAATTTTGGGAGCATACAGGAAGCAGCTCTGGACAAAGTGAAGCAAGGTAAGGCCCCTGATGGTATTTCGGGTACAGGAATGATTCAGGGCCGAATCTCTTGCAAATATTCTAGTGCAATGGAGTGTAGTGCAAAGACCATCACACAGCACCCCAGAAAAGGGAGGAGAAAAAAAAATGTTATAAATACTCCCTCCATGTTCCTGACATATATCCAGGAACAAAATAAGCGACAATAAATTATGTAACTCTTATTACTGACTACATATACCACACTCTTATTTATTTTGGCATCATACAGGCCAAAAGAGAATTTTATTTTTCTCAAACACCCTGGTTTGTAGTGATGCGCACTGAAAAGGTTAAAGAGAAAAAAAAACAAAAACATACTAAGAAAGGAACAATATCCACACATCAACAAACAATCCACAGAACAGTGAGGACACGAATATAAACCTGTTTTTCCCCCACACATACTGTCATTGTCCTGTATTTCGTACATACAGCAACAGAAACACACATTAAGTCCCCCTGTTTTGAGAAAAACACGCTTGAAAACTGCGGTGATCTTTCTTCCCCACCACGGACAGTGCTATGTAGAATCTGGAGAACAGCCTTATACATAAATAAATAAATACACTAAACGGCGAAGGGGGACAGCCCGGAGGAAATAAACGCGGCACACAAAGTGCTGAACGCCTTCCCCGGGCAGGAAACCAGTTATAATTTAATGGCCAAAAAGCGATTTAAATTAAGCCGAGCGGAACCCTGCGGGGCTCCGCGGCAGCGCGGCGCCCGAGCCTCCCGCATGACGGGGCCGCCGCGGCGGGCGCTGGGGCCGCGGGCCTGGGCGGCGCCGGGGGCGGGCGGCCGGTAACAAAAGCCGCCGCGAGGCAGGGGGATGCGGGGATGCCGCCCAGGCCCCGGGTGCAGCGCCCAGCGCGTCGCCGGGGACCCCGGCCCGGACCCCGATCCGCACCCCCAGGAATGAGCAAATGGGGTGGGCGGGTGAGCAGCGATCCCCGTGCGGAGCGGGGGAAAGGCTCCTGCGGCTGCTACATTGTTACCGCTATTGACGAGCAAGCGCCGCTGAGGTGGTGCTGTGAAACGCCGGGGTTTTTTTAAGTCGCACACAGTTATCTGCACTGACGGCTATCGGTGTCATCAGCCGTGAGTGTGAGCCAGCCTTCACAGTCCCCCCCGTGCCAATTACCCGTCTGTTTCAAAGCAGTTGAATGCCGACAGCTCTACGTTCCCTACTTTTTCGGCAAATTCACTTCTGCTTTGTCCATCACAATGAATTCAGGATTGTTTTCATAGGAAAATGTGCTTACAAAAAAAACCCCACAAATTAAATGAAAACTTAAAATCATTAATATGTACAAAACACAGTAATCTAGAGGAAGAGAGATATGAAACATTGCAGAATCACAGCCCAACAAAAACACAGTAATGTCAGTAGCAGGAAAAAATGTCTATTTTATATAGATATTCTTACACTAT